CCGGAGACGGAACATCTTGATCCTTTCTCCTCTTCTATTCCAATTCCAATCATCCTATATCACCATCGTTATCAGTTGTCAGTTATCATCATCAGCTTAAGCTTCAAACGATCGGAAGGTTTTTATATATTACAGACAGCTACAGGAGCTCCCATGGCCTCCTGCCTTGATACAGTTGTCTGTCTCACCGTTTTAGCCAGTTAGCTTCTCTAGGTTCAACTCATCACTCCCTTAATGCCCGCTCTCAACACTCCAAGGTGGGGGTTGAACGATACCTATCGTAAGTTTGATACGGCATTTTACCCTCAATAATAATCCATATTGCATATAACTTTGCTCGTATACAGCATGTACCATCGCGAATATGACGGCTAATTGGCTTTTGTCTTCATCCGATTTTCTCAGGTTTTATATGGTCCTATTTCGGAGGTAGCCTTCGCAATAAGGCACCACTTCCCCAGAACCTCAAGCGGGTACGCGCAGGGCAGCGTTTGTCAGCATCATGTTTTCACGCTTCTCGACTCCAGCAAGCCCGTGGATTCCACGACTATTTTGTTCAAGCTGTTCCTCCGTCGTCGCAACATCCTGAACAGAAAGAGAAGCAATATGTTCGAATTCCCCTGAAGTCTGCGAAACATCATTTCGGTGTCCATACTTCGCGGGGAGAACGTGGCTATAATGAGGATACATGGCAGGCTGGCATTATTGATCTCCCGGCCTTTGGGGACGGCAGGACACATTCACCACAGAAAGAACCAGTAGTTCATGACCCTGATCATCCCACTAATTCGGTATTCTACTTCGGAATATATGATGGTCATGGGGGAGATACCTGCTCTAAATTCCTGCAAAAACATTTGCACGACTATCTAGAAGCCACATCGAAAGCTTTTGGCCTACAGCCACCTCCAAACCCGCCAAAATTTATCACCAAGAGCGAATTGATACACATGCAAAGTAATTTGAATGACTCTTGGAGACATATAGTTGGTGGGTATTTCCAGCGTTTCAAGCCGGACTATGATTCCTCCCACGACCACCTTGGACATAAGGTAGAGAGGCCAAAACCCCGGAATGTCCACGAAGAACAACCACCCACCCTCGAAAATTTGTTATCATATAGCTTTCTAAGAGCGGATCTCGACTTCATCAGTGGCGACGGATTAGCTTCGTATCTCTCCCAGAAACGACCTCCTAACACTTCGGATGACGCTGCACCCGCCATTTATGATCTCCAGAACGCTTTGGACGATGTCAACGGTTCTTACACGACACCACCAATCAAGTCTATTAAGCGTGCAGAGGTAATCTCGTTCAAGGGTGGGTCAACGTGCTCTGCGGCACTTATATCCATGCCGGAAGGCGAAAGCCCATCCATCCCATTCTGGCACCCACAGGCCGAACCGACAATCATGACAGCTCATATCGGTGACACTCGTATCCTCGTATGCGATTTAGCTGGTCAACCATACCCGTTAACCACAAACCACCACCCATCACTACCCTCCGAATCCAAACGATTGCGAAGGTATGCCGCAGCTTTCGTCACAGACTCATTTGGTGAAGAACGTTTCGGCGTCCTCGCGAACACTCGAGCCTTTGGTGACGTCAAGCAGAAACGTTTGGGAGTCTCTGCGGAACCTGAAATCTGCCGTCTAACCGTCCGCAATAAGGGAGAGTTCTCCTTTATGGTACTTATGACGGATGGTATTAGCGGGACATTGAGTGATCAAGAGGTAGTTGATATTGTCGGCGACAGCAGGACACCCGACGAGGCAGCTAAAGCTTTGGTTGACTATGCATGCACGGTGACCAAAGAAGGCGACAATGCAAGTGCCATGGTGGTGCGGCTGGGAGGCTGGGAGAAGCGAGCACCGGGAGATCATACTCGAGATCTTCGAGAATACAGAAGAAAGGAAGCTGAACAAGTTCGGAGTAGGAGAATGTAATAATTGCGTTTTGTCTGGATTGTTTTAATGAAGTAAGTGCATACTTTGGGCAATTGCTTTCTTTATCCTGTGGTTCTAGCCAGTTTGTGCTCCGGAGGAAACGGAACACCCCAATGATAGCATTTCTAAAAGTATAGAATCTAAATTGATATTAGATTACAACGGATTGATATCATCTATATACGTATATACATATGCATGCATGCATTATGTGAAATTAAATCCAAGCCGGTCTCGAGTGCATATGAGGGAAAAAAGAGGTGAAGTCATCTATTGTAGAATATTGAAATCATCGGATAATATCTCAGCCTACAATTGGTTCATAATCCATGCGCGATAATTCCCCTCAAACCTTAAACTGTAAAATATGCACACTGGAATTTATACCCATCGATGCCCGGGTGGATTTTTGAGATACGTAAAGTGCAGCCGTGTCTAATGCTTCAGCTCAGGGAGCTCCACTATGGACCAGACAGTACTAGTCCGATGCCGGTGCAGCGCAGCATCGGCTAATTAAGGTTAGCAACACAGGCGCACGACTCAGTCCCGAGCCAAAAGACCCGGGACCCTTCTTATCTTTGGCCTAGTTCGAAACCGACCTAATGAGCCAGCGCAGCCTAGGTCTATATACCGTCTGAAACCATTATAATTAGATGATGGTACCACTCACTCTCGCCATCCAAATCTTTTCTTCACCACCCGAGCTTCACTAGCTGGTAACAATAACACAATGGCGCCTCAAGAGCTACCTTTGTCTCGCTACGACCTGACGACGTACTGGGGCAGGGTCAAGCATGCGTCTGACTTAACGGATCCAAGGTAAGAAAGTCTCAACGTCCCCCACCATGGTACTGGGTCTCGAGCGCGCTAACGATAGCCGATTATAACAACATAACAGAACCCTCTTCGTATCTGGAACCAACCTTCAAAAGGCCATTGAACTTGTCACGGGGTTCAAATCCGGCAATGTAAAAGTCGATGTCTCCAACAGCCCGTCTATGGAGGACGTCTGGGCGGCGAAGAAGATTGTCGACTCGACGATACACCCAGGTATTAGTTGTCAGCCAGACCGAAGATGAATCGCAGACATCTAATAAGGGGTAACAGACACCGGCGAACCCGTCTTGCTACCTTTTCGCATGAGCTCCTTCGTTCTTCTGAATCTTATCGTCACAGGAGGCATGCTTCAACCTGGCCTAGGTGTAAGACCGCCCTTCTACACGAAGCACGAGACTCGATAGTAACACCCGCGAATAGACCACAGGGACCGTCGTCTGGCAGATCATCAATCAGTCTGCAAATGTCGCAATCAACACTTCCAACGCCAACAAATCGACCCCTCTAAGCATGTCGGACCTCATAACCTCATATTTAACCGCAGTCACAGCCTCTTGCGGTGTGGCAGTCGGTTTGAATTCCCTAGTACCACGTCTGAAGAACATATCGCCGTCTACGAGGCTTATCTTAGGTCGATTGGTCCCGTTCGCGGCTGTCGTGTCGGCTGGTGTGGTCAATGTGGGCCTTATGAGATCCGGGGAGATCAGGACGGGTATTGATGTTTTCACACAAAAGGAGAAAGGGGACACTAGTGAGCCCGAGAGTCTAGGGAAGAGTAAGAAGGCGGCGATATTGGCGGTCGGAGAGACAGCATTTAGCAGAGTGATGAACGCCACACCAATCATGGTTATCCCGCCACTGGTACTAATGAAGCTGCAGCAAGGGTGGCTGAAGAAGAGACCAGGCTGGACTATCCCAGTTAACTTAGGTTAGTATTGAAAACTGGTATCATTGGTTTTAGATGGAATTCTTACTAACCTGTATATAATATCTAGGACTCATCTTTACAACGTCGATATTCGCCCTGCCATTGGCACTTGCTGCTTTCCCCCAAAGACAAGCTATCGATGTCAGCCATCTAGAGCCGGAAATTCAGGAAAAAGCGGCGAAACGCGGTATTAAAACAGTAGAGTTCAACCGCGGTATATAGACAAGATCTATGATTTACTTGTTATACTATGTACAGGATTACGAGGTATTCCGCTTGTGGGGCCAGGCCTTCCCTATTATTCGGCACATAATATTATTTCCTTCACGCCATATGCATACACTTACATATAACTTGTACATTATTAAGATAAACTAGCTACAATTGAACCAGTCGGAAAAATCATCTTGATGCGATAAGATGAGATGTAATCTTTCAACTTTGCACTTCCTGAGCTCCTATCTTGGATCTTGACCTTTTACGTCAGATTTATATTACTCGTTCTGGAGCCGATAAGATCAAAGCAGCCAGTCGGCACCAAGGACGTGGGGGAGCGGCCGCTACCGATGGTGGAAAACTCCGACAAGGGACCAAATCCAGCTATGCGGCGAACGGCATGCTGGATCCGAAGATAGATGTGTTGCACACTGAGATCCGGTACGCCACGTACGGCTGGGATTTTGTTCTGGAAGACAGCTGGAGGCGAGATATCAGATCCGGGTTAGTGGATAAGCTTTTTATGAACGAAGATTTCATGATCATGTCTGATTGTGATGTATAAAGACCGCAGGAATCCCCTCTTTAAGCTCGATATTTTACATCTTCATATACAAATCTACATAGCAATTCTCACGAAACTATTGCGCGCGCAGCATTGCCTCGATATTCAAATCCAATACATACTCGCATATATTACATCTTATACATATCCAATAATTCAGATCAGGATATCTCGAAGGTCCACAGAATACACCGTTTCAATATTCCTCTTTAAGGCTATCAAGATGACTGTAGAATCCGCCGTTCAGCTACTTCCAATCCCTGCTCCTGCCGCTAGCCAGTTCGGAGTTGAGATTAGAGGCCTCGATCTTGCCAACCTTTCCGGTATGTATCAGAATCATAGAAACAATCCATTAACTTGAAATATCCGCTAACCATACATAAAACATCTCAGACGAGGACTTCAAGATAATCGAAAAGGCCCTCTACGAGCACCAAGTTGTTCTCTTTAAAAATCAACAATCACTCTCCCCCTATCACCAGTACCAGCTCAATCATCGCTTCTCTCCCAACAGCACCATTTACGGCCACTCAAATAACACCAAAAAGACTGCATCAATCCTTCATCCCGACCTTAAGACTCTCCCAAATCAACCTCAGGTTCAGTTGATCGGTAATGGATTTGTCCCCGAATACGAAGGCCTCCAAAATGCTCAATTGAAGCATCCACACCACAAGACCTTTCATAAAACTGCCATCCCTGAGGCCGAAGATCTCGACTTCACAAGATTCTATAGATGGCACATTGATGCCGCTCTCTATGGCGCAAACATGCAGCCGCCAAAAGTAACAACTCTCATGGCTGTTAAAGTGCCTGGAGGGAGACGCCAGGTTCTTCGTTATGACGATGGAACGGATGATAATCTCAACGTGTCATTGGGCACTACGGCCTTTGTTTCTGGCGAGAAAAGCTACGAAATCTTGAGCGATGAGGCCAAGGAGTTCGCCCGAACCACTAGGGTCGAGTACGCCCCACATCCATACATCTGGATGTCAAAGGCCAAATCTCTCCCTACAGGTCTCGGTCTTTTCTCTGACGGACTGGAGCTTCTAGAAAGCGAGTTGCCAGACGTTACCGAATCAGACATTCAGATTCATCCAATCTGCTGGAAGAATCCAGTGACCGGGAAGCTGGCTTTACAAATTCACCCCAGTGCCGTTAGAAAGCTTCATCTCAAAGATGGTACTATCATCGATGATATTGCCAAGGTTAGAGATATCGTTTACGGTCTGTTGAGGCCAGGAATTGCACCCGAACTTGTCTACGCGCATGATTGGGAAGAGGGCGATATGGTGTTGTTCCATAACCGTGGTGCGTTGCATACTGTCTGTGGGGCATTCGCACCCGAAGAGGTCAGGATGTTTCGACAGTGCAATTTGGCGGATACTGAGGCTCCAGCGGGACCAGATGCTTAAATGATTGATACCAGATGTTAACTGGATAACCATCATTCTTTTCTTTTGTGCTTTTTTTTTTTCTTCCTCTTCCTCTTCTTCTTCGTTATATTAGCGATTTGCAATTTGGATTATCAGGCTCTTAGAGGGTGTCCAGGCGCAATTTGCTTTCATGAATTTATTCCCTTTGATATTCCACACACATACACAACAGTTCAGTAGACAGAAAAAGGCCGTTCAATCAAATACCTTCCGGTAGTTAGTTAGAGTAGTTAGAGATTACCAAATATAAATTATATCTCTTACAGCAGCGCAGCTTTGATGCCTTATTCAATGATTTGTAAAATGCCAATAGTTGATATAATCAATGCCAATAATGTATATAACCCTCGAGACGACCTCCCAAATGCAACATGTCTGCAAACGTCCAGTCAAAAATGCCCCAGACTCCGCGCCGAGAAATAATCAACCTTGATTCCTTGGAATTAAAACCCAATAAGCACACTCCGTCGACGCTCTACAAGCTTAGTCAATACCCCGCTGAGTGTTTAGTGATGTTTAGTGATCAAGATCTCGGCCGGGATTAGGTAAGGGTCCTGCAGTAGAGTTTAACACCAGAGCTTGGTTCAGCTAGCTACCCACACACGTGACCCCGGATCATCGAACATTGATCGATTGAGGGAAGCTTATGCAGATTCGGGGTTCCGTCTTTGATCCGGCTCACTGACGGGATCGATGATTCAATTGAGTTTTTTGAGGAGTATATAAGTCCCTTTGGATAACTGCTTCCTTGGGTTTCAGTGTTTGTTGAAGCAGCCGATTTTACATACCTCAGGGCAAGATCTCAATATTCTTTGAAGATCTATATTCAATTCGCCGTCGAGCCAGAAAAGTTCAATCGGGGCAGCGTATACGTACTAGCCTTGTTCACTTGACCGATTCGAAGTTCGCGGGGTAGCAACGTCATTGCGCTCCAAAGTTGGCAGCGGCCGCATACACAATTCAAAATCCAAACAACCGGCAGAAAAGAAGAAGAAAAACCCCGTCAGACCAAGAGATAATTCGATATTCCCAATCCTTCGTAAACATCACGAATCAGCATCAATCCAAAATTGAATAAAATTACTTTAAAAATCATGCCAGGAGACTCAAAGAACAACCCTGCCAATGCGTTGGGTTTGAGGTCCCAGACGGGATACTTGCCTGTGAGTATAGATGCTTCCGAAAGGTTCCGTTTTTACTTTCATGCATGAAAATCGATTGGATTCTGACAGGGTTTCAAACTTAATGCCGGCTTAGATCGAAGCTTATGGTACTTTTCATTCAACTCGACTGCAACATGCAACACCAGTTTATAATTAAATTCTAATAAAAATGAAAAAACAACAGGGCTTATCGGGAATATGCACACCTGCGCCATTGTTGGTATGACAGAAACATCCAAATTTGATGCTACTTATCTTAGTTTTCTGAAACTAATTTTGGTTTGTGGAACAGGCATTGACGGTGGAATCGATCAATTATGCTGGTAAATTATACCACAAAAACAACACGCCCCAGAAATATGGTATTGACCGTAATAATATAGGCCGGAATTCGACTCGCCCAGTGTATTCGCCCGTATTCTTGACTGTAACAAGGGTGGCCACTTTTCCATTTCACCTGCCCTTGACGCCGAAAAGGCCAGTCATGAAAACTATTCTCCTCCAACATCTAAACAGGCCTACCTTCCTTCAAACAACATTCTCCAAACACGTTTTCTACATGAAGACGGTGTCGTTAGCCTTCTTGATTTCTTCCACCGACCTATTAAGGATAGGGTCCTTCAAAAAGGTTTGGGAAACGGTTTAAAGAAATGGTTGATTAGACGTGCAGAGTGTATTCGTGGAGAAATGGAGCTAGATGTTGAGTGCTTCCCTGCATTCGATTATGCGCGGCTGCCGCATACGACAGAGATCTTGAAGCATAACGACGGAGAGTGTGTTACCAAGATTCTGTTTAAAACAGAAAGAAGTATGACCATTCTGGCACTCTATTTTTGTGGTTTATTATTTTGAACCCTTTATATGCTGATAGAAAGGACTTTTTACAGAGGAAATGGCAATGCAACTCGAAGCCACAATCGATTGCGGAGAAGGCGGAACATGCCCTGTCATTGACTTCAAAATTGAAAAGAGGGAGCCCCACCTCGGCCCCGGTGTGACCTGCAAAGTTAAACTCCGTGAAGGACAATCTGTGTCATTTGTCTTTAGATGTGCTAATGACGCCCAAAATGATCCAACGCCCATTACCACCCCTTTACTCGACGGACTTCAAAAAGATACGTCGACTTATTGGTACAATTGGATTAGTCAGTCAAAGTATAAGGGCTTATACCGGGAAGCGGTTCAAAGGAGCTTGATGATATTGAAAATGTTGACCTACGAGCCGACGGGGGCGATCGTAGCGGCTGCGACTTTTTCGTTGCCAGAAGATGTTGGCGGAGGAAGGAATTGGGTAAAGATTTTGACCATTATTTTTCAAGTCTCGAGGTTACAGCTTAGCTAACAAGTCATCCTAGGATTATCGATTTTCTTGGGTTCGGGATTCTTGTAAGTCAAGTCTTAGCTCTTAGGTCCTGATATTCAACCAATAACTAAACTGTTTTACTAGCATTTACTATCTACATTCTCCTTCGAATGGGGTTTACCGCCGAGGCAGAAGCGTACATGAATTTCATTTCAGACCGCCTCAAATACTCAAGAAACAAAGATGCTGGACTTCCCATCATGTTTTCCATTCGCGGGGAAACGGGTTCGTAACTGGATCATGCTAAACGAATTCTAATCGAAGTAACGACTGATCAATATATGATTACAGAGCTAGAAGAAGTTGAATTGAACCATCTCGAGGGATACCGCAAGAGCAAACCTGTTCGAATCGGCAACGGCGCCGCCGACCATCTTCAGCTAGATATCTACGGCGAGTTGATGGATGGTATCTACTTGTATAACAAATTTGGCAAGCCGGTATGAAGGAATATATTTTGCCCAATCACAGAATCATAGGTCGAATTACAGTATGACTAACTATACCTCTAGGTATCATGGGACCTATGGGTTTCCGTCAGGTCAATGGTGAGTCAGCCAATAGGCATTCCTAGAAAAAATGAAAACTAACACTAGGATAGATTGACTACGTCTGTACGGTCTGGAAATCTAAAGACATGTCAATCTGGGAAGTCCGTTCCCGCCAACAAGACTATGTCTACTCTAAAATCATGCTATGGGTAGCCGTCGATCGGGGCCTCCGTCTCGCTGAAAAGCGATGCCTCCCCTGCCCCAACCGGGATCATTGGCTCAAAACTCGTGACGAAATCTACGAAACCGTTATGATTAAGGGGTGGAACGATGAAAAGAAATTCTTCTGCCAATCATTTGAGTCAAAAGACGTTCTTGACTCTTCCATACTAATTGGTAAGTACACACTTCCTTTGCAAAAACGATCGCATGCAGCTAATATAGGCTACGTACAATCAGCACCATTGGTCTTCTTCATTGCGCCAAATGACCCACGCTTCCTTTCTACGATTGATCAGATCCTGAGACCACCAGAGAAAGGTGGTTTAACATCCACTGGCCTCGTTTACCGCTATGATACCGAGCTCGCCGAAGATGGTACGTGATTCCAGATTGATTTCTCTAAGATACTCTCAGCTAATGTCCCACATCCTTGGGCGGCGGAATAGGTGTCGGAGGTCGCGAAGGTAGTTTCAGCATGTGTACGTTCTGGCTAGTTGAAGCGTTGACGAGGGTATGTCGTTCCATCCAGTCACAGGATCTAAAAGCCTTGTTTCAGATGCAGTTCTAGCTAACCATAGTATACGTGAATCCCTCAGGCTGGCCGATACGACAAGAAATATCTAGTTCGTGCGATTACTATCTTCGAGAATATGTTAAGCTTTTCGAACCATTTGAACATGTTTTCAGAGGAGATTGCTAGAACCGGAGAACAGTTGGGGAATACACCCCAGGCGTTCTCCCACTTAGCTATGATTTCTGCCGCATTTAATTTATCCAGGATCCAAGCTGGAGACTATAGCGGTATCTAAAGTTAAAAGTACTGACGATCATGAACGTTTAAATTTTTTTCTTTTTTCCCTTGCATGTATACAAGTATTTGGTTTTTAGTCTTTTCACTTCTTGTTTGAAGGAGACCTTATTCTTGATGCTGCGAGGCAATCGCAAGGATCTAAAAACTGCATGTACATGTACTCAAAGGCTACGTAACTACAAGATACTTTATCCAAAAGGCTGCAAAATAATTAAACGCTATTCGACAAAGAAACTAAGCAATCTTACACTAGAGGCATGCCTAAGTGCCGCTGTTGGCTACCTAGACACATTTATGGATCTGAGATCCCTTGAAGGTTTCCAAAGCTCGCAGAGACTAACAAATAGGACACCGAATTGCAAATTATCTTAGAAAAGATAACCCCAGAACGTCCAAAGAAATATATTCCTGTAAGGCTTGCCTATCAAAAATGAGCCAGCCTTATCTATAGGACGGCCCTATTCCGCCAACTGCAGCTGCAGTGGAACCGGCAATTTGTATCGGTGTAGACTTAGGCATAGATGAGGGAAACGTAGTCCAATTGCAATGGTATCTGTGTCGAAACCCAAATCATGACTATAATATCCGGCGCATATCAACAGACCAATTTTTTAAACCAAATAGTCATCATCTATAGCTAGCTAAAAGGCCGCCCGACGCGTGATCAACTGTAATATAATCAATCATAAGTATGATTTCCTTCCAAGGGAATGTCATGCTCGTCCATGGAGTGGATCTCTCAAAACTCCACATAACTATACTGTAATGATTGGCCCTCAAGCTTCAGATCAAGACGAACCTATCTGACAATCGCCCAATAATATATTCAAAGCCACTCATCCAAGCTTAAGAGCCGTTCGATAGACTGCATGGTGGCAAACGATTAACTAATGCTCACGACCGACCGCACGGTATCGAGCATAAGTGGAGAGCCTACTCATATGCATGTGCGCCTCTATGTATGTTAGCTTGCATGATAACTATGCAGACTAATCCGCAATTTCTATCGTCGGAACTTATAATAAAGGCCCCACCACTGAAAGCAGTTAAAAGCGTTAGAGGGACCCCTGAGGCTGAAAATTTAAAGTGTGGGCCACGTTTATCCATAAGGTTGAACAGGAGCCAGTCGATTTAGGATCGAGAATATCATTTCTCGCGATCCCTCTGCAGGTTAGTTAAACGTTATCGGGGAGGGAATAAACGAGGGCAAATCATGTCAGAGATACCGTAATTCAGCCGCATGACGTTGTGGGAAGTATTGGTTTTAAGTGATATCACTGGCTAGAGGAGACCGTTGGGTGCTATATGGTCCCTGCCATATACGCATTTTTTTTTATTTTTTTTTGACTAAAAGAACGTAGAGTTTCTTGGGTTCGAATTTGAAGAGAAGAAAAAGGATCCGGAATGCGAAGTCTTAGACAAACCTGTCACGGAACCAAGAAACAGGGATCCCAGGCACCTGAGCCTGCGAAAAGAAAGCATAAAGACAAAAACGTTCTGGGAGGGGAGCCTATTGGCCATTGGGTGATGTAAATTTTAGTTTCAAGGAAGTTCCGGGCCTGGTTTCTTATCCTTCGGTCTTTTTGGTGTTTGAACCAAGCTTTCCTTTGTTTTCTTCGAGGTCAGGTTAACCGTTGGCTTCCGCAAGGCGAATCCCGCCAGGCCCTTCCCGGTATGTGATACAAGCCTCGGGTTTCGGTGCCCCTCGGGTTTGCATCCAAGGGAGAAGAATGTTGGAGTTTCCCCTGCAAAAAGCTAGCTTCCGGGCCGGGAGGAGGGGTGCTTGTTAAGGGGAAGTTAGGGAAGGCTCTTCTCTTGTTACACACCACGGTGTTATCGGCATTCCCGTGGGATGCGCAAACTGTCGTGCACCCCGATGCGTTCCTTCGACGTTGACGAAGCTTTCATCGCCATCAATACAGTAGTTTTTGGAAACAAAAAAAAAAAAAAAGAACATATCGTGATGAAGATTTACCTGGGTATCTTTGTTGCTTTCGTAATAGGGCTTATGTGCCCACGTACTTTCAGCTTTACGTCTTTTAAATTTTGTAGCCACGTAGACGTTGCGGTTCGGAGGCACCGTGGCATATTAGTATTTCAGCATGATCATGGTTAATGTAGATGAATGTTAATCTGTGAGTCAAGAAAATCATTTGAGATCCTGAACCAAAATAGTATTCAGTCTGAATATAGGTACTTACCGTACCAGGTGGATCTGAGCTTCTATTATTTGAAGGGCTTGTCAAGAGCGAGCCGATATATCCCGACATGCGACACAATGCAATGGTGATATTGTGCGAACTTAGTCAACTCGCTTGGTCGGCTGATATAAGGGCCCGAAGGACTCGATCCCTCAATAATATCAGCATCAATGCGAATGTGTTTTATTTATTTGCATGGAAACCGCCGGTATCCACAATTATGGTCATATCATCCTAAATGCTTCGTTTGGGCGCCTCAAAATAGGAGATGAAGCCTAGTGAACGATTTGGAATACATTCGAATATCGGTCACTAAGGACCGAACCCCGCTAGTGATTTATTTCAGTCGTCTTTGACGTGATTTCAGGATTTAATATTTGGTATTAGGGTAGTTAATGCGTACCTAGAATACAATACGATACAGGGAACGTTACGGGCCCGAATCCTTCACATGGGACAGATTGCATGCGCGCATCGATTGTCGCTTGGAGTTGAGGCCTGGCCGATGGGTGTCGAGTAATTTGGGAGTTTGCGTTCGCCATTGCACAAAAACTCGATCTGACTCGATCCGCCACTCTCTGCGCTGCAGCGCTGCCCTGTTGTAAGGCAGACTCATCCACACCAGACTATGACAGCAATGCACGATGCAAGAAAAGCAGGTGACCAGGCCGAACCTCGAAGATTCGAAATTCGAAACTTGTGACGTGCGACATTGCAATGGGCAGGATACCTGCATGTTTGCATGCATCTTAGTAAGTCCATCAACGGCTTCTTACATTGATGCATTGCCATGGCCTCGATGTCGACTCGACAAGGGAAACTAACTTGACTATCATGATCACGACTGCTAGGAAAGTGCTGTTAATTCAAGGCAAACAACCAGCATGCCCTTCATGAAACGAACGATGTGCTACAAAGCAAAAGAATATGACGTTGTAGGAGACCACCTGATCAGGCAGAATGGGAAGTAGCAGTTGTAGCATGCGACACACGTCTCATCAAGTTGCACCGACTGCTTTTTTCCCTTCCATTTCGTTCGGTCGAAAATTCTCGTGGAACGAATGGACACCGCCGACATCGAGTGGAGCAGCAGGTTATCGATAATCACTTCGTGTCGAAACATCGAGAGAAATATTAATTAATGCCACCGGATCCATGGAAGAAATTCGGACAGGGATGGCGCCCGAGCCAACTTAACCCCTCATCAGCCATTCCTGGGATATTTATAAACCCCTGCAAAGGTACAGTCTACGAACGATACTTGCCCAGAGCGAGATGGTGTGTGCAAGATCTTTCGCCTTGTTCTGCCCAGGCACTACACTCTTCAGTTAGTCCGCAGCAAAGCACACACTGGATCGGTGTCGCCCATGCGGGCAACCCCCAGCATGTGAGGGGGTCCCTTGTCGACATCGACAAGGCGTAGACACCCTATAGTTCGGGTCTGGTATACTATTCTTATGTGGTTTGTGAGATGATATGAGATGATATATTAGGTCAGAAAGCAGAATTCGAGTGGTCAAGCTTCCCAAAAAAGATGCTTTGGTGAAGTGGGAGCGCCCTTTCGGTTCGATTATTCTAAGCTAAGTTAAGGCACATGAATTTTAGCTATGGCTCCACTGCACCACACCCACCTCCACCAGGGTCTTCAGAAAAAATGAACATGCCTGCGACGCAGCGCAGAAGTGGTGTTTTCGGAGCTTCCATTTTCCCCACCTCCATCTTAGTTGTTGAAGCAGCACAATAATCCTGGTACTTTCAACCATTCCTTGTGTTCATAGCTTCGGGATATGGACAACCACTTGCAGGTTGTTAGCGGATACAAAGGGCAGCCCGCGAAACAGATGTTAAAGCTAAGGAAGAGATGGAATGGCCATGGAGCAACAGTGTGGCCGAAAGCTGGTGCGATATAGCGACGCTATTGGGGGAGAGTCTTAACAAGGCCGCCTTTTTCGCACAGGCTTCTTTTCTTATTTCCATTGAAGTTGTTCGGCACCATCGAACTGTTACAAAATAAGAGATAGAACGGGAGCATATATATTTTGTGGCCACTATTACTGGCAGATAAATTTGATGACTAGAAAATCCTAATTAGGAGCTGTCAGATTTTTTATATATATCGTTGGGTGTTCGCATGACTCTCGGCCATGAGGCAATGGCACTAGCTCATGAAACGAGAAAGCCCCAAACAACTTCGCCTTTTACAAATACTATCGGCCTCTTCTTCCCTTGACTATTTCCTTATTAATCACATTTCCCCATTTTGATAAGTAAATATCCTTACAGATATCACCATTTAGTCTTATTTTTTTTTATTTTTTTTATTTTTTTTATTTTTGTAGAGGCACGGAGCAAAAGTAAAAGTCTGAACAAAAAACAAAAGAAAGAAAAAGAAAAGAACAAACAATTAATTATCAACGGCGTACGGCACATACACTCAATCATCCGCAAGACGAGAGAAACGGCTTCATCTTGACACATTGTTCAAGGATTCCTTTTTTTCTTTTCTATTATAGTCAAACTTTACTATATTTCTGCCGATTATTCCAAAACCTCACTGCCGCTTCCCGTCTTCTACTTTCTAGGCAAATGTGCTTGAATGTGCGGATGCCTTATCGATTCAAGGCGGCAACTTCAATCCTAGCACAACGGCCATCTGTCAGAACGTATAATATCCCCTGATCAGACGAAAATATCATATCTTCGTATGCATCTTCTTTTAGATCCTGTCAATCCACCCCCTTTCAAATTAAATTCTCCTATCTGTATAACATCGGTTCCGTTCTGCGCACTGATACCAAGCTTAAGGCCTTCCCTCTTCTACCATTGACAAGCATTATTTGTTTCTCTATATGAGTCGGAGAAGAAACATCGTTTCCTGTCATCGAATTTAGCTACCTTGCACAGTCGATGACTTGCATACCCTAGGATAGGCATTTTGGCACAAGTGACATTTGTCTACTCTCATTCGACATTATATATCTTGGGGACATAGACCCTCGTCGACGATAGTCTCGTTCGCTTTCTGCAGCATCAAACTCAAGCTTCTTTTGATACAACCATTCCAAAAGCACAATCTCCTACTCTTCTATAGAAGATAAGCATACTCTTTGTCCATAGCCTTGCCTCTAGCATCGGTAGTATTGGATAAATCGTTCCCGAAAGTTCTTTATTTGATTTTTTTTTATTGAACCCTTGTCGGTCAAGATGTCTTCGTCTACGTCCTCGCTTTCTTCCCTTTCTTCAAGCTCCTCTGGTTACTTGAAGCCTAAGGTTGCTTTGATTGGCAGTGGGGGGTTACTTGGAGACGCTACCTTGACAGCTTTCCTGTCACCAGAGTTCTCCGATTACTTCGAGAAACCAATCAGAGTTTTGACGAGGAACATTGCGCAGCCATTCCCTGCGAATGTAAGTTCTGGAATTCCTAGGTCGAATGTTGCAACTGCAACTATAGATTAAATATTTTGAACAAAACTAACGGAGGCTCTGCTGTTGTTATATAGGCCACATTCATACGAGTGGATTGGGATGATGACAATGTTGAAGACCATCTTACGCGCTGTCTCCGTGGCGTAAGCGTAGTGGTCAACCTTCTAGGCTGTAAGTATAATATGTCTAACTCCACATCTCGTATTTCCTGACTTAGTTCTCCTTGAGGTAAACTGCTTTTCATCGTAAACTGACAAATGCCATCTAGATAATCCTGATGCCTGGGATGTCATTACGAGAGCTGTCTGCAGAGTTAAGCCCCAGCTTTACATTCCACCAGAATTGTAAGTTCGACTGATCTTTCCTTTCGCACGAAACGGTAGTTGTATCACAGCTTTAACTAATATTTACTAGCTCCTTCGACCATACTCTATGGGACCCTCGAAGGATACCAATGGCATCCGTCGTTGATGACAAGCGACGCCAGACGCAGCGAGCACGAGCAGCAGGGGTTCGCACTGTTCAGATTTTCTGCGGAATCATCATGGAAAATATCATATCCGGACCACATACCGGTGTCGACTTCCTTCCCTCCAGAAGACGGATAATGGCTCTCACCTCGGACAATGGTGTCGAACACCCTGTTTCTTTCACATCGTCCTGGGATGTCGGCAAGGCTATCGCCGCTGTATCTACAATGCCAGCTGCAGTTACTCACGGGGACCTTGACCAAGTCCACATCTCCGGCGATATTAGCTCTTGGAGCAAGCTAGCAAAGCTTATGAGCGCACAACTTCACCCCATGAGCTCTTCTTCTTTCGAATCACAACTCCTTAACGACGCTAGCCCCGTTGAATATTTCCTTCGGATCGCTGCAGCAGAAGGGCAACTTCACTTCCCATCCTCACAATCATCTCGTTCCCGGAGAGCAGTTCCCACAAACCAGAATAGCCTAGTGGATACCCGTTCACTAGGCGCCCAGCCATGGGTTAAACTAGCCCAAGTCGTTCGCCATTTTGATAAACATGGTATTTGACAAATTCCCCGCTTTTGAATTTTAATGGCTTCTATTTCGAAATTTCCTATTCAAATCTTATACCCTCTTGAGTTTAGCTTCATGAGTTCTATTTTCATCTTTTTTTATTTTTTTTTATTTCCCCACTTCGGGCTCTTTTTCAATCGATGTTATGTCAAAGCCTTCTTTGTGCTTTCGATTCTTGTTTTATTTTATCTTTGTTGGTTCAGCGAAATACCCATTTTCCATCATACCCATATGTTGGCATATTTCTTGGTGTTCGAAATCGGCGTCTCCACATGTGTGATTCTGCTTTGCATATCAGATTGCTTTCTTTAGCCTCAAATTCAAGAGAAAATGTGATTTAATCAATAATTAGTAACTTATTATTCTCTTTCAATTTCTATTTCTAGATAATGATGCAGCCCGACAGTCTGGCACAAGTAGCCCAGAAGAGTCCTCCAAAGCGACAGCCAGTACTACCAAGAAGAGAAAACGGGCCAGCGACTCCGCTGGGAGCAGTGTCGAAATCGACAACAATACCCTCCAAAGCTACGACGAGGATCCGAAATCCCGAGGAAGTCTAGAGAACATTACAGACGCTAAAATCCCACCCGCCCTATTGCCGAAAGTTAGAACCTCCAAGCCTAGATCCTCAACCGCGGCCGTTCGAAGGAGTGCTAGGTTGGCGACAACAACACGGGAATCTGCAGCCGTGTTGGATCGAAGGGTGACCCGCAGCATGACAAAACGGGCGAACAACAATAAGACCAAGAATATTAATCAGAATACGAGGAAGAACGAAGACAAGAACAATACGAAGGCAGCTGCCCCGACCGGGCGGTCAAGCCAGCGGAGACGAGTCGGTTGAATGCAAAGCAGTATTTGCCTGAGAGGATCTTGCATTTCCTGTGCCTCCCAAGGCCAGGCAGTTGCAGCTGTCCCATGCGGAGGGCCTGTGCATGTATGTATGTACGCATATGTGGAGTCCATGTGCACCGCATGGACTCGAATGTCAAATCTTGAAGCATTGGCGCTTCAAGTCAAGGGACGGAAAAAAGAGAGAATATAGCTCCACCATATTTCAAGCTTACATAGCTCGGATGTCAGCATGTCATTCCAATTTAGCCCATTGAATGTACTTTTTCCCTTTTCCCTTTTCAATTTTCCTTTTTTTTTTTTTGGTTCTGTTTCTGCTCAATGCTCCGGAACATTATCAGACGATATCAAACGAGAATTTGAGATTTTTCTGTTTCTCCAAGTTCGGGTTTGCTAAATTGGGGACTGTTCGTTAACTAAGCCCATCGATTACCGGGACTTGGCAGGCACAGCAGGGCCAGTTCCGACCCACGATCATGCCTTAGTGCCCTATATTTGGAATACGACGAGGATACTAGTAGTTTATAATCGAACCACTTTCTTTGTGCATGCACACGCTTTTACTGTATGTAAGCTATGACAGATGGCTTTGTCGAGCTCTGCTAAGATATTAGCTAAGGGAAAGTCTAAGAGATTATCTAAAGTTTATCTGCCGAAGATTTAATATATCGGATACATTAAGTCAGTTGAGAAGTATTTGGTTTCTGTGATACATCGATGGTACTTTTTGTGTCTCCACCAACGATGACCAGGGTAGCCCCGCCTTTCATCCATGGGCTTCTTCTTCCTCCTCCCTTCTTCTTCTTCTTCCTCTCCTCCTTCTTTCTCAGCTGACTTGCTTTTCATGCACCCCGGATTCTTAGGGGGGTGGGTATTCCCCTCCATTCTATCGATTCCTTTTGCATTGCATATCTATTTCACTTTCTTTAGAACATCTTTCTTCCCAACATTCTCATTGTCCTTCCCGAATAACCCCAAAAGATATGCAATTCGTATAACATTTAGAACAGCAGACGCTCCAATATTTCCTGCCGTAGTATCGTTCCAAGCCAGAGGGTTCATAAATAGGTCATACCCGATCCCCTTATACGTCGCCCAGATATGGCCGTAGTCAGCGAGTACGAGGAGAAAAACATATGATCTCGCGATACGAGATTCGTTCGAAACATGGCAGCAGAGGAATTGAGCCACTGCGATGAGAAGGAAGACATTTCCAAGCGAAAGTATGGCGGCAACGGAAGCGTCGTCTGGTTTGTAAGCATGCGGGGTCGGACCCAGAGCGCGCAAATACTCATGAGGGTCTTTGAAAGCGACGAAGCAGGCATATACTCTTTTGATACCTATTAGGCTTTTTGTGTGTTCCCTGGTTTCTCGTGCGAGGATGTATAAACTTACAATGCCGTTGGTTCAATGAAGCCGAATATGATCCAGGGAATCGTTGGCATGACATGTTGGACCATTTTGACTCGATTCGATCGAAGGTTTGAAAGACAGTGTAACTGCAAATTCGTTATAGTCGAGCGATTGATGCTAGATACTTTGAAGTAGTGTGATCACAATATGGAAGGCGAAATCAGACAGGTACCATAGAAACCTCTGAGGTTTTTGTACATTTCGGCATTTAGAACGCCCATTTCATGTCAGAGTGAGATTTGGATGGCCAATACTCCGTACCCAGGCCGAAATTGTTCTTGCTGACATCCCATGTCGGTTTCTGGCTAGCTCACGACCACAAACTTCTTCACCAAAATAAAATAGCAAAAGAAAGATGATTTCGCGCACGCGTGTGTATTATGTAGTACCATGTGGTTTAGGAAAACCTCGAGCCCAAACGACACGTGCTTCGATTCTTCCATGCCCAGCCCACGATAGAACCCCGCGATTTCGAACAATTGAGCCGTTTTATGAGCCTCAAAGATAAAGTGGCGTTTTGGTTGGTGTTTGTTCGATTGGGCACCCACCTCGTAGTTCTTAGCCCAGTTTTTAAGCCGCGAAAACATTCATTTTGGGTCAACCTTGGACGCCATGCCAACGACTGACATCACGATAACCAGAGCACCCGGAGCATTCAAAGGTCGTCTGGACCCGCTGTAGACCTCATCTCAATCCTTCCATCGCCTTCATCGCCTTCATCATATCATCATCAACCCTTCCATCAATATATATACCAGCAAATGCGTAACTCCCTCTAAACTAGCCCGGCCCTAGCTGTCCCTCGCGATGCCACAACCTCGTCGTGGAATCGCCCATAGTGGTGGGAGAAGCGCCCAGCCAGATCCTTCCGTTCCAACGCCGAATAGGCGAAGTCGCGTCGTAGCGAACTTCAGTGCGATCCTTGCCCGGCGTGGTGCAGCTGGGTTCCGACATATTGGTGGTCTTGAGCCCGCACAGGACGATACCGACGAGGATGAGTCGGAGCTAGATGATCTCCAGTTTGGCGAGCCCGACGAGATTGACGATGAAGAAGAGGAAGAGGAGGATGATAGCGATGATCAGTTGGTTCCTTTGGACAACGATGAGACCGACGAGGAGGAAGATCAGAGTGAAGAAGAGATTGAGGAAGGAGAAGATGATGATGTTGAGGGCGAAGAGGAGATTGAGGAAGAAGAAGATGAGGATGAAGAGATTGATGGTGCTAATGCATCAGGCCATGATCAAGGTATGTGTCAACCATGAAACTACAATGTTCCCATACTCCCATAGCATGTTATGTTGCTCGGCCTTCCAAAGGCCTAAACCAACACCATCACCTACCATTTACTTAGCTCTATCACCCATTCATTCAATCATTTAAGAACTCAGCTAACCATGAGTGTTCCCGTTGTTACCGTCGACCCTATAGCTACCCCTTCCCTGGCTGGCCTCAAGGAAATTGGCCATCTTGCATCATGGACTGTCTCTACCTCAAAGCCCGGGTGTGGAGTTGCAGAGCTCCGATCTGAGGACACCAACCTCTTTTGGCAGTAAGTTCATCTATAAAACTGATACTAGGAAATCGTGTGCTAATTAGATATAGATCCGATGGCCCACAGCCTCATCTAATCAATATCCACTTCGCGAAGCGCGTCTTCGTCAAGCGTATCCGTGTTTTCCTCGACTATGGTCAAGATGAATCTTACACGCCAACTAAGATCGCCATTTACGCCGGGACTGGCTACCATGACCTTCAGGAAGTCTGTATCCTCGAGTTCCACCAGCCTACTGGATGGCAGGAAGCTCCGTTGGAGGGCGTTCATGCAGAGTAATTATCACCAAGCCTTTATATTGGGCCATCTACCGTTCTAATCAAATGTGTCACAGCGGGATTTTGCGTACTTTTCTGATTCAAGTCTGCGTCCTCTCCAACCACCAGAATGGTAAAGATACCCATGTCCGTGGTCTCCAAATTTACTCGCCTCTACAGTATCTCGAATCGCAGGCGACTCTCGTCGGCGGACTGGAGCTCGACGAGCCTAATGCTGGCGACATTAGCAAGCTCTCGCCTATGTGGTTCAATGAAAAGGAAATCCCCTTCAATACGGTTAAGATGATGTCCGAGCTTGAACTGCGTTAGAAAGCAGCCATGCTTCGAAAGATTCATCAAAAAGCTATTGAGGCGCGTAAAGCGGAAGGTGGTGAATTTCCCCATCTCCTAGAGTATCCTACAAAATCGTTGCTAATAAAATACCAGGAAATAATGCCGCTATTCCACCTGAACCTCAAATGTCACAGGAACAAAAAGAGGCTAGAGTTTTAAGGAGGGTTGACCCTGATGAACCAACCCCCCCACGCCCACGGCCAGCTCCAAAATCAAATCTTAGTGATAGAATTGAGTGGGAAGATTTTGATCCCCTTATGATGGAGCTTCGCTAGCTCTCCCCCTTTATTCATTCATGTTTCATACCGCATTCTATGGCGTTTGTCCCATCAACCAGGAGGGTACGCCTGCTCTATCGATTCTCCGTGGGCATGATTCATTTTATGTAACAGTTTCTTTAACAAAAAGATTTCTTAGCGTGCATCAAGTCGGCGTTCAGGTTCTTGTTATTATATCGGGCATTGCATTCCTCCTTTGTTCCATTGCCCATTCAAGGGCTTCTATCTACTGTTTGTGCTGCTTACCCCAATTCTCTGGACCTACATTACGCAGAATAGCTACTCATGTTCCCAGTACTACAGTCTGGAAGAGCCCTTAAACCCGATTAAGTATTCAAACGATGCGCTATCACATGTGTATGCTAGTCCAGCGCTTCCCGCATCGGGAACTACACGGTTCATGGATATTCAAGATTCATTCAAAATAATGGTAATTGATATTGCAGAATATTGGTGATCTATAGAGCTAGAATACAACCTCCCCAGTAAAGGTAGCCGATGAAATTTTGGAAAGACATAAGTAACATCCGACATAATTGAGACGTCTAACAACCAAGACAACAAATCAAGAAGTTTTAGTTAAACCAAAGACGATGGAGGTTTAGCTCAAGAGCTTCTTGATCTCTGCGACAACTGCATCACCAACTTCGCTAGTTTTGCTCTTTCCACCGATATCACCGGTCTTGACACCAGACTCGATGGTAGTTCTGACAGCGTCTTCGACTGCCTTGGCTTCTTCGTGGAGGTTGAGAGAGTATTTTAGCAACATGGCAATACTTAGGATAGAGGCAACGGGGTTAACGATGCCCTTGCCCGAGATGTCCGGAGCAGAACCTAAGGTCACGGGTGACATTAGTGCCAACTCAAAATTCACAACTTCGAAAGGAAACCATACCGTGGATCGGCTCATATACACCATTAACATTCTTCCCGACTTCCGGAATACCCGACAAACTGGCTGACGGCAGAAGCCCCAAGCTTCCAGGTATCACACTTGCTTCATCGCTAATGATGTCACCAAACAGATTACTTGTGACAACGACTCCATTCAACGCTCTCGGGTTCTTCAACATCAGCATAGCAGCCGAATCGATCAAATGATGACCCAGCTTTACTTGTGGGAATTCCTTCTCCATAACTTCTGTAACTGTTTTCCTCCACAACCTCGAGGTAGCGAGGACATTCGCTTTATCTAATGACCAAACCGGTGCTGGTGGGGTTTGCTGTAAGGCCAAATGTCCAGCGAGTCTCGTGATTCTCTCAATCTCTGCTTTGGAGTATGGTTCGATATCATAGGCATATCCGTCACCTGTGTCTTCTTTCCGATCACCAAAGTAAATACCACCGGTGAGCTCACGGACGACACAGAAGTCTACGCCTCGAGCAATATCTGGTTTTAGGGGTGAGTTGTCAAGTAGAGATGGTGCGGCGAAGTTGCAAGGACGAAGGTTGCCGAATGTTGCGAGCTCTTTACGGAGTTTGAGAAGGCCTTGTTCGGGGCGAACGGTACCAGTACCCCATTCCTAGACGATTATTAGACTTATTTCTGATATAGATAATAGAGGAGATTTGTATAACGTACCGGACCACCGACGGCACCGAGGAATACTGCATCGGCGGATTTACAAGCATCTAAGACCTCATCGGTGAGCGGTGAGCCGGTAGCGTCTATCGAAGCCTAGTTTCGGAACGTCAGAAGATCCATACACAGATACAAGCACGATGGTAAAATTGGATCTTACGCCGCCAATAAGGTGGTCCTGGAAATCGAATTGTATAGAAGGTCTTGCTTCAGAAACAGCTTTCAAAATTTTGATAGCTTCTTTGGTCACCTGCAAGCTAATTGTTAGCTGTTGTATTTTGACAAATAGGATAACATGTAAATGTAAATGCAGCGGCCATGTCATACCTCAGGACCACAATGGTCGCCAGCCAGAACAACAATTTTATATGCCATCGTAATATATTTATGTAAAGATGATTTTTAAATTTCGATTATATAAGGATTGATTTTTCCGAAGATGAGAATAAAATAGGAGAGGAAATCGATGAGATGCCGATTGCTAATGGCCGATGGCGAATCGCATGAACCTGTCGTAATGGGCTAGAAGGTAGTGTTGGATGCTCGACTCAAAGTCCGATATCGGGAGGGGCAGCTGGGAGCCGTTCGGCTTCGATCGGGTTTAAGCAGCGCCCAGCCCAAATCAGACTGCTGAATAGATGTACCCCGCCAAATGCGGGAACGGCGGAGGATCCTGGCCGCCTTCTGCGGGACTCTTTGTGCGACCGTTCGGCTGGAACGCTGCAGCACTGACGAGGGTGGTTTTTAAGCCGATAGTTGCCGACAAGTTCTTATTTCTATTTCCCTATTCCGTGCACGGCCGTGTGCAGCGTTGGTCGACATACGATATGATGGCATTTCTGCAGATGGCAATAGATGGTCATTCGAAATTCGAAATAAAAAGACGAAAGAAGGTGAGAGTGGTCAAAGAGATTCGCCAAAGGTATGTACGCATGGCAGGTATCGAAAATAGTCGAAACATATTGTAACTTGCTCAGCGCAGCCCCACGTTGTATTTCTAAATAAAATCTCCCCTCTCATCCGTTGAACCGAATCTTTCCAATTTGTAACAGTTTTAACGAAATACAACAGCCTCCCGAAGCTACCTAATCTTGGCCGTCCGGGCTCAGGAGATCATGATCTAAGTCAAGATTTCTTGGGAAGAAATATGGGGGGGAAGGGCTGACGCCTCCATATTAGATTGACCACGACCTCATGCCTAGCCCGCCTTAGCAAAACGGCTAGACTAGTACATACTTATGTATAATATATGGTTCAGCAAGCATCAACATGGCCTGATGGGCATACAATGGGCATACCTCCCTCTAGACCGACTCGTAGACGGTGGGCCAGATAGCAAGCTAATGAGAAACAACATTCCAAGAATGCAAACGGGGCGAAGAAGGGACTATAGTACTAAAGCATTGTGACAGGAATGAATCACCGACCAAATCCGATTGCTGTGGGGAATACCGTTCAAGACTAGTTAGTTTAAAGCCCACTCGAGAAAACTCTTTTCAAAGGACACTTGGGCTGGTATTAAGTATTTATAATCGGACTCAGAAATCCCGGACGATCAAGAAACCCAAATAAGTCAGTGGTTGGGAAGTCATTCACTTTCCTGTCGGGGCCCCAGTCCGCAAGGAATGTTAGAATGCTCACAATTTTATCGCAATAGGATATACTATATTGATATTGAAATGCTATGCCTAGTAATCCAAGGCCCTAAATTCGTAATCCTAAGACATATAACGATAAACGTCTAGGAGGTCTTCTTAGATCAACCTGACTCGGGGTTCCCGAAGCTAAGATCCAACACTGCGTCTAGAAGTACACTTAGCTATGTATACTTAACCCCATAAAGGCACACTAAAGCCTTGCTCAGAATCGAACCCCAAAGACCCGAGCTTCGCGCCGATTTTGCTTGCCAGCGTGACATTGCCACTAGTTTGGTACTTGGTAACTTCGACAATGGGATCTGTTTCCCCCCATTTCTGATACCTGATTGGGACGATATCTTGAGCCTGTGGAGTCGCTAGCACTGTGGCCAGCTTAATGTGGAGAAAAACAAAACTCAAGGTGCATGAATGTCTCGGCCAATATCCAGATTCAAGTTAGCATCCAGCGGCAAAGCAGGAGAGATGCAAAAAAGTGGAGAGAAGGAACGTGGGTATGGGAGTAATCTGATGTCTGTTAGTGGTCTGAGTTCTGAACCGACAGGGTACTTTCTCCGAGGGGCGGTGGAGTACCTGAACACTTGGCTTTGAGGTGATGCGTTCACTATATTGGTATCCACCTCCAGCAATTCAAAGTTTGTGGAGAAGAGACATGGAGATGATCCCAGGAGGTCATGAGTCCTCTGTCTGTGATTCTACTTTTTAAGACTTTGTGGGGATTCATTAATTTTGTCGGGAATGCGGGGGAAATGCGGGTGAAGGAGCGAATTCATGGGGTTGATGAGACTTCATATTCTGTAGATCTGGGGAAGATAGGCATGAGGACTGAGGCTCGAGGGGATTCAAAGGATATATCATCGTAGAACCTCGGTCAATATCGATATTATGGGCCACAGAATTCGAGAATGACGCGGACTTCGCATCGTAACCGGAAATCAAGTTGGGGATTCAACCAGATTACCGCCATGATTTCCCATGGTTCCGGCTTCTTACGCTCCCTCAAAATGAAATCATGTTGAGCACGTCTATCACGACTTAGGGCCTTCTCGCTGTTCTAGTGACCTTATTGAAACGGCTATAAACCTTCGAGATATGTCGTTTACCAAGGTCGAACGTTCCCGGCTTCTACCGGCTGAAAAACAGTGATATAGACTTTAAAGATCCAGAACCCGAGGTCAAGATCGATTGACTATCGAGATCTATACCATTTTAACGGTTACGAACTGGCAGGGATCGGAACAAAAAACAGCCAAACGAGTGAAATTTGAATGAGGCTGTTGCGTATCCTGAGACCAACTTAGGCAAATTCACTCCCCCCTCCTCAGGCTGGCAGGCCTGCAGATCAAAAAAACGTTTCGATAGTCAGGCACGGTTAGTACATGATCTGTTATACGCAAGAATATAAAATGAGAATTCGCTTGTGTAATTGTGGTGTTTTCGTTTTCATTATCGTCAGATCGACTAGCATGTAAAGGCTGGGGTAGCTGCAGTAACGCTCAGACCCATTGCGGCTTATTTTGGGAGCTAACCTCGGATATTGCCCCATCTGTCGAATTCCACGAAATGGGTGGCACTGCATCCTGCATTGCTTGCTTTCGAGAACCCTGTTGCAAATCTATGTGCCAGTGCGTTCAATACGTATTTAGTTGGAAAAAAAGCAAGAACAAACTCGCAAATTCGACGACGGCTTCGTTATTAGAGTCAGAGATTGAGAGCTTAGCATACTGCAGCCAAGCCTGGAGGCGGGAGACACATCCACCTACAAGACATCACATGGGATTGAAAAGATCGATGTTTAGGAGTGTGGTCTGAGTATCAATTGGATAAGAAATCTTCCACTCAATATTCATCTGCGCCAGACGGCTGGGATCTTCTCCATCCTCCATCCTCATGTCTCGTTAGACGGGCCAGAACAGATATTCGGGACTTCAGCTAGCCGAGTTTGTTAGGTGGAAATGTAGGCAAAGTACCAGTAGAAAAAATTATACGTCAAAATAGTTTAGACGAGTATCTCACTTGGAATATGATCCTCGACGGGAACCAAGTTACCGTCTGTTTGGGAAGCCGGTACTTGCCATTAAACTGGATACGGCGCTATGAACTTCGTACATGCAGCTCGTGAGCAACTGCAGTTCTCTTACGCCCTGGTCATTTCTTGTATGCTTGGCAGATAAGGCGAACCAATGAATCTCGAGTTCCACAGACTTTTTGGGCACCCTTGATCTCGCATGATATGTATCTTGGAGATTGAGATTGGATTAATACATCTGATACCAAGAATCAGCAGACAGACATACCACAATTATTGTTCGAAAACAGACGGATAAATTTCTTGTGATCTCAAACGATGGGAACATATTCTTGGCAAACCTGTAGGATCAGGTGCGAAGTCAGTTTCTTGCAGATAACCTTTCCGGGGTGTATTTGCATGCATTCGCATGAATCTTTGGGTACGAGACAAGTCATTTACATGCTTTTCTTGTTTTCGACTGCTGAGTCTCTTCGGCCGACTAGAAAAACTCGAGACTAAAAGACACCGTTAGCTCCTGCAGATCAATCGCTTCGATTCCGAAGACATGGTCGTTCCTTGGTTCCAAGGATGGCCACGCACCGAGATGTCGATATCGTGGAGAAGGGTTAAAGTTGCTGCAGTATGCCAACTGCCTATATCAATTACCGAGGTGTGAACTAAACCCAAGTGCAAGTAACCTCGATCATACACCATCCCAAACGCCATGAACCCCGCGTCGTCTCCGCAAATAAAAAGACTTCAGAATTTGGGGTGGCAGTCCTTGCTCGATCCGGGGTTTTCTCCACCGCTTTGGCCAATCAGAGCCATCCTATAGCAGGGATTAGGCTTTGGGCCAAGAGTTATCGCGTGTCCTGGCGCTGCAGTCCCCAGACTGGGTGTGGGCCAACATATCCAGATTCGCACACAGTCCTCCACCCCGTCCGTTGGAGCCTTCGCTAGAGCTGAAGGGCTTGTCTGCAGGCCAAACTTGCAGCTTTATCAACCGCGGCGAAGTGTTCTCACCTCGGTAATGGGGGCGAAACCTTGTTCTGGTTGGTCTCGCATCTTGTCGTTCTAGCTCAATGTGGCACACACGCATACCGTCGCACGGTGTTAACATTAGTCGACGTCAAAACAAACTAAAACCTTGGAAGCATACCAGAGACCTATATGGGCCCATTGGCGATCTCTATATCAATGGCGGGTGGGAACCTCTTACATATCGGTTTTTTTCTTCTCCTTCTCTCTTCAGCCGATTGTTACGTTGCTCGACCAGCCTCGACACTTTTAAGTTTGGGAGACAGACGAACGACACGACCCATCCCAATATTCCCTGACTCCAACGTTGATTCGTCTTGGATTGTGCAAGGAAACAGAGAATTCCAACGACAACAACCCTAGACCTTTCTCACGAAATCTTCTTTTTTCTCCTCTTCACTTAATTTTCTTCCTTCACCATGTCATCCACCGACGAGAAGAACGCCTCCGCCCTGGAGAAGGCAGGAATGGACCACGTTGAACATAGATCAGACGACAGCTCCGACTACGTCGAATATGACGAAGCGGAAAAGAGAGCCATAACCCGTCGTATAGACAGGCGATTGGTCATTGTCACTGGTGTCACATACTGCGTCTCCCTTATGGACCGAACCAATCTTTCTGCCGCTTCCTTGGCTGGCATGAACATCGAACTCAAGATGAATGTTGCAAACAATGGCTACGTAAGTATCAATATCTGTCAGCCTGTATCTTCTGATATCTACTTGGAATTTCTGCTAATGACGAATTAGTCCATCACTACCTTGGTATTCTTCGTAACATATATTTTGTTCCAACCTCCTGCCACAATCGCCACACGAAAAATTGGACCTCGTAACTTCCTGAGTGCTATCTGTCTTCTCTGGGGTGCTGTTATGATCGGTATGGGTTTCGTTAAGAAATGGGAAGAACTTATGGCTCTCCGTCTTGTTCTCGGTATCTTTGAGGTATGCAACTTATCGAATAGTCTGATTTCTAGTGTTTGTCTCTCGGGTTTCTGACAATGATATTTACAGGCTGGTTATTTCCCTGGTGCCGTCTATCTTCTCAGCACATGGTACACTCGATGTAAGCTACATTCCCAACAAAGACTCTCTCCAGTGCAGCAAAGCTAACCCCGAATTTAGATGAAATGGGTAAACGATATGCAGTCTTCTACATCGTCGGTTGCGTCGCTTCTGCCTTCGCCGTACGTTTTTTTCCCCTAACGACCCCCCCCTTTTGCATTAAGAAATATTCTAACTTTCAGAGTAGGGCATATTGGCCTACGGACTTATGCAAATGAACGGACTAGAAGGTCTCACGGGGTGGAGATGGATCTTTATCATGCAGGGTGTTATCACTTGTGTCATCGCCATCATCGCCTACGTCTTCCTTGTTCCATTCCCAGATGCCAACGCTCACAAGTCTTGGGGCTTTTTGAATAAGTCTGAGGTCAACTACATCATCCGCAAGGTCAACGATGATCGTGGCGATGTCCATCTTGAGCCATTCACCCTCATGAAATTCTTGGGAGGCGGTGCCGACTTCAAGGTTTGGTGTTTCGGTCTCATCTTCTGCTTCAGCACTACCGTCACATACTCATTGGCATACTTCCTTCCAATCATTTTGCACGGAGGTATGGGATTTTCAATCGCCGCGTCTCAATGTCTCGTCGCTCCACCATACGCGTTCGCCGGTATCTGGATGTTCATCTGTGGATGGGCCGGTGATAAGTACAAGATCCGTGGTCCCATCATTGTCGTCAACTGCCTCTCCGAAATCCTTGGAGTTTGTCTCATGGGTTGGGGTCCAAGCAATGGTGTTAAGTTCCTCGGAGTCTTCTTTGCCTGCGCCGGCGCCAATTGCAACGTTCCTCTTGCCCTCACCTACCAAGCCAATAACATTCGTGGACAATGGAAGCGTGCTTTCTGCTCTGCTACTCTCGTCGGTCTCGGTGGTCTCGGTGGTATCATCGGTGGTCTCGTTTTCCGGTAAGCCCCAGAATTTGCTTTTAAAGTATTTTCTTCGAAAAAGTAGACTAATTTGATTTCATATAGTCCTCAAGATGCTCCTTCATACCGACCTGGACTTTACGCATGTCTCGCGGCCGCTATTTCTACTATTATCATTGTCGGTCTGTTGTCCCTCTACTTCAAGACCGAGAACGGAAAGGCCGACCGCGGCGAGAAGAAGCTGGAAGGTGGCGAGGAAGGTTTCAGATACACCATCTAAACCTATCGTACCATTTGCTTGCCTTGTTCAAGTTTTTGCGCGTATGAACTGTTTTGTCGAGTCCCCCAAGGAATCGTGCTCACGACCAAGGGCTCGGGCTCAAAGTCTCGCTTTTTTATTATTTATCTTTCTAAACGAATTTCTCTAATCGTTCTGACGTCAACAAAAATTCATTTTGAAGAGCCTTTGGTTTCTTTCTTGTTTACGTATCCGATACGACCTTTAACTTTACCTCTTACTTGATTTAATTTAAGAAAATCCTCAAGCCTCGACCCCATCCACATCTACATCATCTACATCATGTTTCTCTGATAATATCCCGCTTATTTCTCTTTCTATGTCTCTCAAGTAATGTACTGGGGTCAAAACCCGAATATGTGTATAGTAGATCACCACTTCCGGAATGATCATACGAAAGGCTCTCCAAAGATGACTTGACGAAATGCCAAAGAATGTGACAGTCGTAAATATGTCCGTGACACCTCACACAACTGGAAAACCTCATGTGTACCGCTTCAGGTAAATTTGCATTCGTCATTTCTCCTAACTTCGGCGACCTACCTAGCTAGGTATTTAATCATCGAAAATTTAACAGTTCAACCAAGTGCTCTAGTTTACACAATTATTAATATTACATAATTGCGACATCTACAGGACCCCGCACAGACAGCAACCTGCACATTTAGTTTACCGCGATAACAGAGATAACGGTTTCAAGCCCAGGGGAGCAGATCTACCCGGTTTCCGGAGCGTGTATGCCACGTGTATTTCTTTTTTTTTTTTTTTTTTTTTGTGAACAGCTTGCTGGTGTAACATAGCTGCGAAGAACAGGTACCTAGGTAAGTACTGTAACAGACCTGTGCCGTCAACACATCCTTATGTGGTATTTTTGAGGTTGACGAATTGTGTTGTTCTTACCAGGTTGCAATTGGCTACATGCAAAACAAGTACAAGTGCTAAAACTGGTACGAGGTCGTCTTTCACTTTGAGGCTGAATTCAAGAAGCCGAGGCTATGCATCGGTGGATATGGGGCCTGGAATAGGAAATCGATAACGTTATGGGGGAAGAAGTGGCTATGAGGGTAAGATTGGGCGATTTAATCGATTTGGTAATATTTTGTGATCATGCATAATGCATAGTATTTACGAATTCTATCTCGTGCCTAAGCGCAAGCCAGCCTGCGGCGTTGACATGATGTGAATTCTCAGCTGGTTGGTAAAAACCACACGGGAAGTGGAGCAATGAAAGGTTGCCTAGTTCATACTTCATAATTTAGTAAGTGAGCATCCTGGTTGTAGCATCTTGAAGACAAAAGGATGATAGCTATCGATAGAATACTTACTATTTTCACTTGAAACCCGGTTATGCATGTAAGTACGCTTCTAGGAACGAGACAAGTAAGTACGTTCTAGATAGTTATGAAACTCTCGTTTCTAAAAAGATAACCTTAAGCCCAGACGTTAAAGTCGATCTAACCGCACTCACTAAGCTTATAGCTATAGTGCTGCACTAGAACCTAGTAGATTAACGAGGCACGGAGCGAATTATCTGTCTGGAAACCAGAGCAGCTCGTATGGAAACACGCCTTTCCGGGGGTTATATTCTCCTTTTCATTCCCTTTTTATATAACAAAAAGCAATTAGACTAAATAATACAGCCTGTTTTATTCTTTCGTTTTGTTTATAACTTTACGAAATATTTAGGTAGGGTATCCTATATTTCCTAGACAAGGAAACATTCGAGACAATTTGTAGCTTAAACTTTCGTTCTGCCTTCATCTAAAGGTGAAATAATATGCTATATACTAGTTGTCAGATCATGGTGGTAAAGATTCGATGATGTATAACACCACGGCCGCTACATTGAAGGTGGTGATGGTAGTTTGCTTTGTCCAGGAACATAACAAAATGTTTGTTAGGCTTGTCTCGTCGCCAGACTCCTCAACTGTGGGTTAGGCCTATGTTCGGAGCTTGGGTCCACGAATAGAAGTAGAATAGTGACGATTAGGGTAGCTTTCCAAGCTGAAGTTAGGACCGCTTGGCCTCGTTCCCAGGGACCGCTTTTGTGACGTCTGGGAACGAGACCAGGACCGCTCACACATGCAAATAGCTATAATTGCCATCCTTCGATGCATCGATGTCTTCAATGGATGTATTTGATGGACTGGACACAGATCCCAGACGTATTTGTCTAGTTTCATCCGTTTTTCCTGCCAGATCGGCGAGTTAGTTATCTAAACCCCGAGCTTGGAAGCTTCCTCAAAGCCCATATGAACATCTCACGACTCCTGAGATCCCGTATATGGTATATGGACCCATCTTGGAACCAAACTAAACCTCAGGGTTAGGTTTACCCTTGCCTGGGATAACACATTGCAGGGTCGACTCTTTCGGTACGTATATTATATTTATATTTTCCGTAAACGTTAATATTGGTAAGTATTATTGAACATACATATCGGATATAAGGCTCACGTCCGGAAGCTATTCAATATCTTGCCATCCAGCATTAGTTCACAATCACATTCCGAGGTTGTATAGGATTGCTGAAACTGAAAGGGTTTCTTCTTCTCGTCTTCTAAACTCGAATATCCCATATGGGCCCATGGAGGCTGATGATTACCCGAGTTTCTAGAAACTACCTAGTGACGGCCCGGCAGCGCCGCTACGGCTAGTCTATATTGTAGAATAACCCACATATGCGTAATTTATGCATTAGTCCAGGATCGATAGAAGGTATAGCTATAGAATGTCTATAACAGGTGTGGATATATATATATATACCCGTAGCTATTATCTGTAAAGGTCAAAACAATGATGGAGCAAATTTACGATTGCAGACTATCAAGGGATCTTCTTTAGTGTACCGCGTACGATGCTTCGGGCATTATAGCACTACAGCTAGATCTACTGTTAAACAACTAGACTAGATCTACTGTAAGCTTTTTGATATCGTGACATCGACCTGAATGATGAGTAGATATAACATATATTCTAATGTAACTACTAGGATCCGAATTCGATCTGATATGATATGCATCACAAGATTCTGTGGTAATTTCTGCATGTGAATCTGTTAACAGCACTGAATGGTATCAACGTTACACCTAAAGCTTAAGAAAGCCCACAGGCTGCGGGCCACTAAACTGATACAAGAATACAGTCACAAAGGTGGCCATTCAAAGCATTCCAATATACGGACTAGATTAGCCTTGTTTTAAAGTATTTAGACTCGCAAAGGGTGCTGTGATCGGACTAGTCATCGTGATCGATTCGGCTTACCTCATAAATTTGGCTATATACATATATATGCAGATGGGCGACATTACAATGCATGTCACAGACCATCGCGATATCGCAAGACCCCGATACCCATCGGCAAAATCTCTTTGAAATTCCGCTCTCCTAGGACCGTGGTGTCCTCCCGTACAAGGTACATTCTATCCGTGTGGGATATTCTTGGAATAGACATCGGAAAGAAAAGGCGGCGATTCTAAAACGCAACGTCGTAGCCAGATTTGTGGCTTTAAATTTATGCACGTTCGGAGTTGACGATGGGGTAGCCCTGACTACCTTACATCCGCCGAGTTCAATCATGCTAATATGAACTTAAGGAGTGTGATTATAGGTGCGTATATGCATACATGAATTTGCGAATCTTCCATAATCCATGTCGAGCATACTAGCTTAAGACAATTGTCTGTACAAGGGCCGCCTTCTAGGTCTGGGTACGAGACAAAGCCGCGCCTAGATGAACATTTATTTTACCCATCGAATCAGAATTGAGGGCAAATGATTTCTCCACCATCCAAATGGATTCCGAGAGCCGTATAGAGCTACCGGGTTTCAAATTCCAACTAATCTAGGGAGCAGCCTAGGTCCACGGACCCTAAGCTATATATACCCCGCAGCTGTGCAGCAACCCCGGCTGCTTTTTCTTCTTCTCAAAACTGGCGTATTCCCGCCGATGGAAGGCGTTTTCGAAAGTTCTTTACCGTTACAGGGGGGTTCGCATGATATTATTTACATTCGAATACGAGTTTTCGGAGCTAGAGGAGTCCCTTCTATTGGCTCTTTAAGCACATAAAACTAAGCCAAGGCGGGACATGTAATTGACATCGATACGCATCGATCAGAGGACCAAACTTTGGATAAAGATAAACCAGGGGTCTGCAGGGCAGAAGTTTGCATAATGTCTCAAGTTTCTACTAGAAGCGGTATGATAACTGCCGTGGCATCGATATTTGCTTTGAAGCTAGCTTCGGAGTGATGCACCGATGGGCTTTATGTTCCTAGGCTATATCTCGAATTTGGAGTTGCGAGTAAGTTATAATAGGTGATGAACAAGACAAATGTGTATTATACTAAGGTATTACCAGGTTGTATGCCTCGTCGGGAGGTGAGTCCGTTGGATAACCAGCTGTGAATGAAATACATCCATGTTTCATGATCATCTATTCCTAGGATTCGTTATAGAGCAGTTTCAAGCGGTGTTATTATAGCCTTACATAGAATTCCGAAATCTAGAGCCGAGAAGTTATAAATAAATATAGATATTATATTACATAAGGAACATATAAGCTCTCCGAGTAGTTGGGACGAGGAGATTGTTATAGTTTCAATATATTCACGGAACAAGTAATCAGTAAAAAAAGGGATAGTTCCGGACCGTTGACTTGTAAGTTCTCAAGGATAAGAGCCCTGGATCCTGACATCACCGGCCATACGCTTGAGTCCCCGTAGCAAATCCTTCAAAGAGGAGCGGAATTTCTATTTACATTACTTTTTCGGAGCATACCCCAACCGGATGGGAGTAGCAGAGCCGGCTATTCTATCCTGTCCTTCCGGACCCATAAACCCGATGACCGCCACACTGCACTAGAATATTCTAGAGACGGATGAGGAAAGTCAAAAGTGATACAGCCTCTTCAGTATCAAGACGAGGAAAATTAACAGAACAAGTGAATGGTGCTAGTAAACATCGACGATATCAATGTGGA